AAGGGGTGCCTAATACCTTCCCCTTAGAAGAACAAGAACCCTTACCCATAATCTTACTAGTTAGCAGACTAATAAAGAATATGACTTAGTAATTAAATAGGTACCCTAGTATACCCTTAAATATTAGGTGGCGACTCTCTTTTATCAACAATAGAGAAATCACAAGTTGAATCTTGTTTTGACTAGTGCAAAATAGGGTGCAACAATCCTATTTTTGGATAACTTCATATACGTACACTTTTCTCGTCTTCTTTAGTTCTTTTTTTTCTTTTTCTTTGCTCTTAGAGTTTCTTCTTCTTCTTAGTTGCAAAATCGGTTTATTAAATTTGTTGTTATTTTAACAATTTGATGATTGAGATTTATTTTTTATTATATTTAAAAGTTATGTTTCAAATTTGAGCTCATTTGGGGTAGATTTAAGCATTGAATCATGTATTGGATTGTTGAAATTCGAAGAACAAGTTTATGTTTCAGAACTTAAGATTCGAAATCTGAAGTTGCATTTATTAAATTGAATTACTTAAGATTCAAATTTCTGAAGTGTTATGTGAAAGATAAAAGAACTTCAGATTTGCTTTCTGAAGTTGCATTGAATAGATTGAACTATTAGATCCGAGCGAGAACACTTTGCAAGATTTTGTGCAATGCAAGCATAACTTCAATGGTTCCCCAAAAGTGGGTATATAAGAAATGGCTTCTTCTCAATGGCCTTCTAAGTCCATTAGCATCATCAATTAGTTATCCACAACTTCTCTTCGGCCCAAGCCCCTTTTCGTCTCTCTCCGAACTCTTTTTCATTTTTGGCATGGTATGACAATATACCCACATAATTAGCAAAAAAAAAAGCCCTACTTATAAATATTGGCATCAGGTAGCCAATAAAGGTATATCACAACAAAAACGTGTATATCACACTTTATTTTTACTTCTTTGTGTATATCAAAATGTATATTAAATTTTTATTTTCATTCTTGGTTTATCTAAAATATAAAATTATAAATATAGTTATTTAAAATTTATTGTTGTCTCTATATCAATGTATATCACAATAAAAATAATTATATTATTTATATATCGCAATGTATAACACATCGAATATGTGTATACCAAAATGGATATCACAAGTTTATTTTCCTTCTTTGTGTATATCAAGAATTTATTTTCCTACTTTGTATATCAAAATGTATATCAAAAAATTATTTACTGTCACAACTAGCTCTAAACATGTTATATCAAAATTTATTTTCCTTCTTTGATCAAGAATAAAAAAAAAATCCTCATACCCCACTAGTGAGATTTTATTGGATATGATGATTTGATCAAGAACAAAAATGATGTAAGTTTATTCAAAATGAATTTCGCCCTCTTAAAATCAAATTGGACAATTTAACCTTATAGTGCCAAATCTAATAATGTATATCACGATACATAATATAATATACACATAGGTATACATGGTGATATACATAGATGTACACAATCTCAAACACATATATTTTTTTCCCACAATTAAAAAGAGGGAAAAAAAATTAGAATCTGCCTCTTGAAAAAGAAAGAGAAGAAGAGGGAATGTCTCGGAGTAGAGCCTATTTCCTTCTGTAATTCATGTTATATTTTCATCTGTAATTCATGTCATAATAGTAGTATTAAGGTCATTGACTGAAAACCCCAATGAAGTAGTCTTGCTGTATTTTTTGAATTTGAGGCTAAAATAATTCTCTTCCGTGGTTGTGTATACAGTCAGACATCTCTATAACAGCATCCCTATATAACACTTCTCTATAAAAGCCAAGCTTTTTCGAAACCAATTTTTATGTTATGTTATAATATATGTTCTCTATAACAGCACTTCGCTATAACATCCAAAAATATTCGGAACAAACGAGGTTGTTATAGAGTGGGTTGAAGTTTTTGGTTTTACTTGATCCAGACTACAATGGTGCAGTACAACTTTAAATGGCATATTGCCACTCGAAGCCCCAATTCTATATATATGTGAAAAAGAACAATTGACACAACTCTTTTGAGAACTTGAACAGGCAAGAGCTGTTGCGCAGTAACAGCGAGACTTTTAAAGAAACTGATTACTTCAACCAAACAGCCACACCAGTTCACATGCTCAAGCAGTGTTAGGACCTCATTAACCTTATGTTGAAGCTAACCAAAAAGCATCTCTTCAGCCGCATCATAAGCTTTTAGTCAAAGGAAACTGACTCAAGTTCCTTAGTATCGCAATGCAGAAAGAAAACTAGAGTTTGTACACAGTACAAAGGCTAAGATTACTAATGAATCAAGATCTAAGTTGCTCGGACACGGGTGCGGATCATTCCGGCTAAAAATAATTCAAAAATATAAAAATATGATAAATTTTGTGGAATACGTATAGCTTGTAAAGTATAAATTTCTTTTTTATTCTCAAGTTGTAGATAAGTAGATTGATTTATTAGATAAGGTATTTTCTTCAAACTTACCCTAGTTTTGGTTCTGATTTCGGAAATCAAATTGTATCTCGTCTCGAAATTTTTCGTCCATCGTGGTCAAAGTACCCAAAATTGTTTGACCAGATCCGGTACGGATCTCATATCCACACCCATACTAGCGTCGTATCGACACCAGTGCGGCACCTAAACTGCCGTGTCAGAGCAACGTAGACCAAGATACATGCGAGCCAACCTCTCAGCTTGATTTGTCTTTAGAGCCTTGTGGATATTTCCTGCTGAGCAATCACCATTAATGATGGTATTTTAAAGCACTTGTTTGTAACAAACCTCTTGTTTGACAAATCTTTCAACACACTTAGCTTCATAATATTTCTCACGTTCAGCAAACAATCGATAAGCATGTATACGTGACAATGTTTGGCTTTATACCATCTAATATTATTGCTTCCTTCAAAAGGAATTCATCTTCCAGATTCCCCATTTTGCAAATCCCATGAATGAGGCTATTATAAGAGGCAACATTTGGCACGACAATCAAGTTTTCCATCTCTCGAAACAACCCCTTCGCCTCGTCCACCCTTCCTCCTTTACAGAAAGCATGTTCAGTGTGAAGACAGTACACCTATGGTTTAACACCATATCTCAAATCTCCGGAAACCTTATAAAACATCCAAATATCATTCTCTTGCGCTAGAAAACTCAACGGAAGGTTGCAAGTTTTCAATGAGGGAATCTAACCCATACATGTCAACGACTCCGGACACCAAACATCTACGTGCTTCATCCTTAACTCAGCCACAAAATTATTCACGAGCCTATTAATAAAATCTTCCCCACCCAAATAGGTATTCCCAGCAGTGGTTTTCACCTCAGAAATCCTTTGATAAATAGTCAAGATAGACACATCACAAATATCGCTTTCTAAATAAAGAACAAGAACATTCTGGTCACCTTTAATTGAACCTTCCATGTTCAAACCATAGGAACATCTCTCTGTTGTCCACTTTGCAAGAACAGGTGCATACAATTCTCTTAAAATATTAAACAACTGTTGTTGATCTAACTTCAGAGAAGTAACATTATTCGCAGAATAGTCTGGAAGCCATTGGTCCATCGGTAGCATTAAACACTTCACTGTCACGCTCCCTGTGCACCTTGCAGTTGCAAAGGACCCTTCTTAATTCCCAAAAGCATCAATGATCTTGGTTCATCAAATAAGAACCAACCGACATGTCCATCAGTTCCACAATCAGGTTTACAAGAATAAGGATAATCTTCAGATCGAGCATGAAATTTGCACGGTGGCTGAATAGATCCAGCAGTGGCCAACAGATGATTGGTCCCTGCTCATTGTCCCACACTGCCAGGTAACAACCCAACGAGCCCGCTCCACCATCTGAAGAACAAAAGAAGAGTGTTTACAATCACTTTCTTTGTATCTCCAATGAGCCACGAAACCGTATTTAGCTTGCAAGTGCATCTCCTTTTTGCAAATCTGAACTTTATCCATATTAAGCTTCTTCTTTAGCACCTTGCAGTAAATGTTGTATAAACTCTTATAACGTCCTGAAAGAACATGATAATTGGAGGATGTATTTGGCACCACATAGGCTTGATAACCATGAAAAATCAGAAATGACTCCTCAGGAATAAAAGGACTAATCGACAGATATGGGATAGTCTAAAATATTGTAAAACCCATGGGATTTATTGGCAGCATGAAACAAGGAACCATTTACCTGTCCCGTATCCACCCACTTTCATTTGTGTAAGAGCATGTAAAAGCGAATAGCTCTACTAGGACCACGAAATTTTGCAAACCTTTCCTTGTTCGACATTGCATCGACACCTGGCGGGCAAACTTCATGGAAAGCAGTTGATCAAAATCAGGAACCCACCAATTGCAACCACCAGCCCCCAAATTTGCAGCAACAAAGTTCTGAAAATTGGAAGACTCCATTGCCACCAGGCAGATCAAGTAACTGGGAGAAATAGAGACAACTCCTTACAATGAACAGCTTAAGCCACTGGGTGTCAGTCTGGTAAGAACTTTCATAACACTTGGCTTTCATCTGAGATAGCCTTTGTCGCAGAGTACCACCTTGTGGATTCTGGATTTCAAAAAAACAAGCTCCTCAGCCGAAGTGTCGCCATCAGCAATATCCACTGGTGAAGGCATTGTTGTGCAATGGCGAAGCGACTCGATCGCAGTACTCTAGGCGCTGTCAAAGAATATCTTGTCCACAGGGCTTGAATATCCTTCAACCAATCCAGAGTCAAGCTCTCCGATACACTCCTTCACATCACTGGCAGTTGTATCGTCCACTATGGCCTCCTGCATCACTGTTAGTGGCTAGCCTGCACGGCTGGACATGCAGGAAAGATAGAGCTGGTGTCGCACAGTTGCTTAGACATAATCGGGTAATCTTCTTGCATCTTCAGTAGCAAGCCAAGATTGCTGGAGATTCGAGTGTTTACCATTGGATAAAATTGGAGATAATTCAAATCCATGGAGTCCGGATCGATGAAAACTCCAAATGAAATGAACTGCAGCTCAAATTTAATGGAACACAAAGGGAAACAGATTGTATTGATAACTCAAAGAAAATTACAAAGGAAACTGATAAAAAGTACAATAAGGAAAGCAGAATGGAGATGAGAAGACTTAGAAGAACAGGGATGAGAAATCAAAACTTGCTCAACAAACTTCTTGCCTACTCCACTATAATGGCACTGTGTTATTAACTAACCCCACCCTCTACAATCTTTTGACAGAGCTAAGCCCTTAACCTGGATCCCAGGTATAATATGTGAGCCCTTATGATGGTTTCTTAATTCTTTTGCTTCTTCTCAATGGCCTTCTAAGCGCACCAGCATCATACTGTCCTATTTTCCAGCTTCCATGCGCCCTTTTGCAGGATACTAAGTTAATATTGACGGCACATCATGGACTGGGTGGCCTTTCTTGTTTCTTTCCATTATCCTTCGAGCAAGAGAAACTTGCTTCCCAACGGCAAATATGAATGCCTTTCCTTTTCCACCAGCACCCCTGGCAGTTCTTCCAACACGACGTACATATTCGCTAGGGTCTCGAGGATAATCAAAGAGGACCACATGGTCTACACCTTCAAAGTCAATACCTCGGGATGCTCTGCAACATTGTTTAGAAGACATCAATTCAGATCTCTTGTCCCTTTTTCTTGTTGATTAGTGAGGAAAATAACTGAAGCACGTCATCTAACTGACACATGAATAACTATATGAAAAAATCTAAAAAGGAGTTTGCTACAGAATACCTGTCGGTGCACACCAAGAACAAAGAAATGTTCTCCATCTTTGAGAGACGAAACTCCTCCATGTTTGCAAGTCTCCTTCCTTGGTCCAGTGCAGCATGGAAGGGTAAAATTTTTATGGAGAATCCTTTCCTGTCAAAGCGCTTTAATGCATTCTCAACTTTTCTGCAGCTATCAATCTGCATATGCATGCAGGAATGAGAACTGTCATATATGCAAACCAAGAGCAATAAATATACTTGCAGAAGAAAGTAAATCTTATTCACCTTGTTACAGAAGACAATTGTTTTTGGAACTGGGCTATCCTCCACCAGATGAAGTAGGGCATTCTTTTTATTGAGAAAAGCTGTGTCCGGACTTTTTTCAGCTGTTTCATCTCCACTGCAATCTACAAGGAACTGGTAGTGCGAAAAACAGAGCATCAGTGCCATAGTTATGGAGACATGACACGACTCTTCTTATAATATAAAAAAAGACATGAAATGACTCTATGCCCAGATTGGTGTGTTTATGTGTATCCATGGAAGACGCCTCTCACCTTTTGAATAGAAGGTAGTGAGGCTATTTCAGTAGAACGAAGCAAGAGTTGAGGCTCTATGATGCAAGAAGGACAAGACACAAAATAAAGACTTAACGTAGTCTGTTAGATGAGTCTAACTGCAAAAATGTCTACCAAATAGCTAGAAGGACTGACTGGATGGCAGATCCATTACAGTGCCCCTGATTTGAAGTGTTAATTTACAGCATGTATATAGTGTAGTATTGTCCCACATTGGTAGAAGAATAGTATGTCCTTGTATAATATAGCTATAAATAAGGACCTCTTGTATTGTATTGTATTGTTCATCCAATATCAATAACATATTTTCTCCCGTGCCTTCTCACATGGTATAAGAGACTTATCGCTGTGCATAAATTCCAGCGATTTCGAGAAAGAGAAATCGCTGTGCATAAATTCCAGCGATTCCGGGAAACAGAAATTAGTACTTTTTTAAGGTTGTTTTCTATCTGCTTCATTTCTGTCAGTGTTGTGCAAAATCCAACACTACCACAAGAGTCGTAACTGTCCGGCGACCAAACCCCAGTGAAAAACTCCGGCAGCAGCCTCCTCACGCGCCACCAGAAGCTCACGCGCGTGAGCTCACGCGCCGGCGCGTACGACCACTTCCGGCCATTTTTTGAAAATCTTCCTTCAGAACAGTTGGGTCGCCTGGTAATTCCGATCCTACCCCTACTGTTTTCATTTCATTCCGACAACTTTGAGTTTTTTCCGGCAGCTACAGTACTATTCCGACAGCTACAGTACTATTCTGACAGCTACAGTAGATTCCGGCAGCTACAGTATTTCAGTATTCTGTTTTTGTGTTTTCGTACACTGTTTCAGTGGATTACAGTTGATTCTTTCTCCTATTTGGTAATAATTTGCAACAATGTCTTTGGGATTTGATGCTTTTGGGTCTAGAAACATGAGTTCTGGAAGCTCTAGTGCTATTATTACCTCGGAACCTTTAATGGGAGGTTCAAACTACTTAGCTTGGGCTTCATCTGTCGAGTTATGGTGTAGAGGTCAAGGTATTCAAGATCATCTAATCAAACAGTCTAGCGATGGAGATGAAAAGGCAATAGCACTTTGGGTAAAAATCGATGCTCAGTTATGTAGCATCTTGTGGCGATCTATTGATTCCAAGTTGATGCCCTT